TGGAAGTAGGATTGCCCAACCTTCCTTCCGAGGAGTGGCTGATGGGTTTGAACCACCAGCCATCTGGTGAGCAGTCAAGTGCCTTAGCCACTATGGTATCAGAGCTCCCATCGGCACACAACAACAACAAAAAGACTCTCTCATCTTTTTTTTAGGTAGGCATTTATTGCTCTAAGTTTCCCTCCAAGTATTACTTTGGCAGTGTCCCATAAGTTTTAGTATGTTGTACTTGCATTTTTCTGTGACTTTAAGAAATTTGTAATTGTTTCCTTGAACCAAGTAGTTCAATAATGTGTTGTTTAATTTCAATATGCTTGTATTATTTTCCAGGCTTTTTTTTCTGTTATTGATGTGTAGCTTCACTCTGTCGTGGTCAAAGAAAATACTTGGCATGGTTTCAATCTTTTTCAATTTATCAAGACTTGTTTTGTGACCTAACTTGTGGTTTATGCTGGAAAGTGATCCATGTGAGTGGAGTAAAATGTATATTGTGCTGTTTTTTGGTGGAATATTCCAATGCCTGCTAAGTCTAGTTGGTTTGTAGTGTTAATCATGTTCTCTGTTTCCTTGTCGATCTTTGTTGATGTTCTGTCCAATATTGAAAGTGGTGTAGTGAAGTCTCCAATTATTATTGTTGTAGTATTTCTCTCTTCAGTTCTATCGGTGTTTGCTTTATATACTTAGGTGCCCTAATGTTAGGTGCACATATATTTATGATTGTTAAATATATTTGACAATTTTATCATTATATAATGTCCACTTTTATTTCTTCTGACAGATTTTGACTTAAAGTCTACTTTGTCTGATTTTAAGATTGCCACCTCAGCTCTCTTTTAGTTCAAGACTAACTTAAAGAAAGGGTTCTCTTTAATACAATCCAAGGACCATGGCTTACTTAGAAAACAGTCTTTTCTCCACAGTGACTCCTGACATTCTAAGCACTGAAGTGGCACAGTGCAGTGGAGACAAAATGCCTCGCTTTTGAGCTTAGTTCTACTATTTCCAAGCTGTGTGTGGTTAAATTTCTTACTTCTCTGTGCCTTAGTTTCCTTGTCTGTAAGATGGTAATAACAATAGAACCAACTCCTATGATGGTTATGAGTACTAAATGTTAATCTATGTAAAGTGGTTACGACAACGCTTTGCATATAGTAGATGTTCAAAGTATGTTAGGTGTTATAATGATGATGGTGAAGTACTAGTACCAGTAAAAGTAGTAATAGTAACAATAGTCAGAGTGGAAGATGATTATGATAATGGGGAAATGACAGCTATGTTAAAGCACTAAGCACATAACAGGACCTCAAGAAATACTTAATTACTCACTTTCTTTCCCTTCCCCATTAATATGTTCATGTGTTATCTCTATGTTCCCATATTGTTTATCTAGGACTTGCTGACATTTCTTGCAAATATTATCAATTTAATAGCCTTTAAAGTATTCCAGTTATGGAGTTCAACTGAAATTTTTTAGAAGGCTCCTAAATAAGACACACAAGAAATCAACACACTTTTTGTTTTTTCAAGGAACTCAAATCAGGACTTACCAACTGGAACTTTCTCCCAGGTTGTTATTAGCCTTGGTGGGCTTTTACTCAGAACAGTACCAACTTCTGAAGCCCATGTGTCTCCAGCAGAACAGGCCAGTGCAGCTAAGAGAGACAGACACATCCAAGAAGCACTATACTGCTTGGAAAAGTCGATTGGGATTTCCCCAGGGCCATTTTCTATCATGTACAGCAGGGCCAGCTCTGTGGGCACAGCTCCATTACAGAATACCTGAACCCAATTCCTCTGCCCACCTGGAAACCAACAAGCAGACAAAAAGCCAAACAATGTTTTCTTCTCATAAGGAAAATCATGCACTTATAGGAACTTACGCTTTAAAACTTAAGAAAAATAACTAAAATAAAAAATGATTACAAATGGTTTGCTACCTTTGTCCACACATAGTATTATTAATAAATCAGAAATAACTAATGATAGGCTTACAAAATTCTGCTGTTACTCATTATGTGGTAAAAAATTGTATTAGGCTAATACTTAATATGCTTTTCATTAAAAATGTATCTGTTTCAACTGTCTAAAGACTTTATAATCAACACTTTTGTGTTAGGGTGAAACAAAGCTTAATATTTCAAGTAATATCACATAATTCATTTTACCTTCTTTATACTCTGAATCTAGCCGTTTCTTTGTTTCTCCCTTCCATTTGGTGAGTTTTGAAGAAGATAGGAAAAACATCAGCAAAGAGGTAAAAAAGCTGAAATTTGCAATGGTTAGGATAAATCCAACTATTAACCCTGAAAGAAACATATAAATATGCATACAAAGAATCAGTCTTAGTCTATACCTGAATGAGGTGAAAACATAATGGAATTTTTAAGAATTGTTTTTACTATTATAACCTGAAATGTACATTGCTAATATCTTTACATTTTTATCAACATTTTACCAAGCACTACCTGAATGTCATTTTGATTACACTGAGACATGTATTTTTTATCATCTTTGTTCTTTAAGGAGCTCTGGCGGTGGAGTGGCTAAGCATTTGTCTGCTAACCAAAAGACTGGCAGTTCAAACTTACCAGCTGCTCGGAGGGAGAAAGAAGAGGCAGTTTTACTCTGTCCTATAGGGCCATTGTGAATCAGAATGGACTTGATGGCAGTGGGTTTTCATTTTTTGCTTTCAAACAAACTACACTATATGAATATAAGATATTATTTTAGACAAACTTTGAATAATCAAGTAGCAGAACGTATGCATAGGAGTGAGCTTATTTTTATTAAACAGTATTGCACATTATATATTTGTTTGGGTAGGTTGTTAGTTTTGAAGAATTTCTAAATTAACTGTGGTTATCTCTGTGGAGGTGAGATTACAGTCTGTCAGTTCCTATTTTTCACATTTCCCCCCCTAGCTTGGGATTTTCCCCCTACTAGTTTATAAAGGATATTCAAAACAGGGTAAGTTTTTCATGTTTCTCAGAGAACTTTCACAAATTATGTGAGTGTGATAGGATAGTTCTTAGCTAGGATTTTCTGCATAAAATCCATGAAAATACTCCTGAATTAGTTCATGTTCTTTGATGTGGAACTACAAATGGACTATGTTCAGTGAATGTAATTTTAGATATTCTCTCTAGGTTTTATTTTGGCAAACAAAGAAGAAACAAGGGGATACCTTGTTTTTCAAAGAGGGACCAACTTCAAGAAAAGCTTATAAAACCTGTACTTCTATCAGGAAAACAAAGAAAAGTGAAGTTTAAATTTCATGAGATGAAAGTTGCAAAGGAAAAGATGTTCTCTTGATATCACAGCAATGTGTAATGAGGCAATTAAAATCAAATACGGAATCAGCTGACAATGCTTGAGACTGAAGAGAACTTGCTGTGAGTTAAGAAAGTATAAATCTAAAGCTTCTCTCTATACAATTCTAAAAGAAAAATACACAAATGTGCTAGAATGGGCTAAAAAGGCCTTTTGTTATAAAATTTCAAAAACGTTCTTGTGAGCAGAATTTAGTGGTAGAGGTAGCAAATTACCCTCATCCCTATCACAATGATTAGTTAATCCTACAAAAGTGAATTACCACAAAATATAATGAGTAAAAATAGCCATTTACTATAACCAGACCGGGAGCTCTGGTAGCATAGTGGCTAAGGCACTTGACTGCTAACCAGAAGGCTGGCAGTTCACACCCACCAGCCACTCCTCGAAAGGAAGATGGGGCAATCTACTTCCATAGTGATACTGCCTTGGAAACCCAAGGAGGGGTCGCTATGAGTCGGGTCCGACTCGACGGCACATAACAACAACATAACCAGACCAGACTCACTGCTGTTGAGTTGACTCGACTCACAGCAACTCCTCCTTGGGTTTCTGAGGCAGTAGATTGTCCAATCGTCCTTCCAAGGAGTGGCTAGTGGGTTTGAACTGCCAGCCTTCTGGTTAGCAGTCAAATGCCTTAGGCACTATGCCACCAGAGCTCCCAACTACTATAAAATATGATGCAAAACAAAAGAGGTAACAGTATTTGACCACTGTTATGGACTGAATTGTGTCCCCTCAAAATGTGTTATAAAGCCTAACCTCTTTGCCTATGAATATAATACCATTTGGGAATGGGTTGCCTTTACTATGCCAATGAGACAGGATTAGTATAAGGTATCTTCAGTCAAACTTTTCTGAAATATAAAAGAGATTAAACAAGCAAGAAGAGCAGAGATGGGAGAAGACAGATGCCATGTAACACGAAGATCACAAGGAGCCACGGAATTTCCCCAGAGCTGACAGAGAAAGCCTTCCTTTCAAGCTGCCATCCCGAATTTGGACTTCTATCCTCCTAAACTGTGAGGAAATAAATTTGTTTGTCAAAGCTATCCAGCTGTGGCATCTGTTACAGCAGCCCTAGATAATTAGGACAACTACTAGAAACATACAGAATTCAGTTAAGGTAGCCCCAGGAAGTCAGACCTGTCCCCAAGAACACTTTTAAACTGAACCAGTTTTATGATACTCAATTTGAAGAAAGATACTCGGTTTCAACAAAAAATGTGCTAACAGATGGAGATAATCTGAATAGCAACAATAAAATGGGCATTTCAGAAACTGAATTTGTCATTATGTCTTCAGCATGGTCCAATGGTAAAGGTAGCTTAACCAGTCAATTCTAGTAATTGATTTACTTATCAAATATAAACTTATTGTAGACAGAGTTTTTAATGTCTCTGGCCATTAGATTTATCTAGTTAATTCTTCTTATTCTGACTTTATGCTCACCAAGCTAACTAAAAAAATTCAGTTTTTTATTTGGGAAAAATTTCAAACTTATAAAAGAGTCACAATAATAAAAATAGTGAAAAGTATACTGGTATACCTTTCATGCAGATTCACCTGTCATTAACATTTTACCCCATTTACTTTATAGAAGCGGATTGTCACATCTTTCTCCTGTGGAGCAGCTAGTGGGTTTGAGCCACTGACTTTTAGTTGCAGCTGAGCTTTAACCACGCTGCCACCAGGGCTCCCCTTTATTTCCAACTATAAACTATTAAAAAATAAAACAGGGGACCAGGTTCCCATTTCTTTAATAACTTTCTCCATTGTCTAGCTCAAGTTCAAGTACCACAATTATCCCCACACAGCTGTTGAGTAAGCCCGGCTGACGTTTTACTCAAGTTTAGTACATTTTAACTGAGATCGCTAGAAACAGGGTAATGCAGTTGTTAGCTGTTGTCAACCACAGCGACAAGTCACATTAGCTCAACTCATAGGGACCTTATATACAACAGAATAAGACGCTCAGTCCTTTGCCATCCTCACAACAGTTGGTGTATTTGAGCCTACTGCTGCAGCTATGGCAATGTGGTATAGAAGCAATAATAAAGTGCTTCACCTCTGAAGCTGAAGAGTGGGGAGTTCAAACCTTAGCTCCTCCACTACCTCTGTAAATTACCTGTGGTACAGTGAATTACTTAACTGTGGCTTTTCTAGCCAAGGTCTTAGTGACTCCCACCAGATGACTGGATGAAACTATGTAAATGTGAGGTGCTTTGTGGCCTAGCAAGGGGATTGGCTAGCTTGTTAGTCATGTAAATAAGGTACACAGCATCTTTGTGGGGAATCCTAATGTGGCACTGGTCAGTTTTGCCATCTTGCTAGCCTTAAAATGAGCCATTCCAGAGAAGAGCTGGGAGTGAAGCATGTCCTTGGACCCAAGAGTCATGCACTGAGATGACAGCAGAGAGATGATGGCAACAGAGGCAGCACTACCAAGAGACTGGCATGAGACAGAAGTGGCAGGCTTGCTGGCCTGCAGAGCGACAAAGCTGAGTGCCTTTGGGCAGGAGGCTTGCTGTTGGAGTGGGGTGCAGCTATCAGCAGAGCTAAAAAGAGCTTTGTAAGTATATGTGAACTGCTGTATGGAAAGTTAATTTGCTCTGTAAATCTTCATCCAAATCACAATAAAAATTTTTTTTAAAAAAAGAGCTTTGTAACACTTGCTCAAGCATGGCAGAGTGCAAGCCGAGAGACTGAGAGCCAAAAAAAAGCGTGTCTATGGGCATGGCAGAGGGGAGGCTGTCTTGATATGAAGCATTGTATCCTGAGCATTCCTGAACCTGAGTTGCAACCTGTTACTTTCCTAATAAACCCCATAATTGTCTATGAGTTCTGTGTGGCCATTGCAACAAATTATCAAACCCAGCAGAGAAGTAAAGAGTGCCCTGGGAAGGATGATTGGTGTCAGAATTGGTAAAAAGGTTGGAGGGTGGCAGCATGTCTGACCTCTTATTCATAGGAATCAGTGTTGGGCTGTTGTTGCTGATACCAATTCTGTTTCCCCTTCATGAAGTTAAGAGGAGGTTGGAGGATGCCACCCACAGGCTCTTTTTACATTACCTAACCTTATGCCCCAGTTTCTGCTTGGTAAAATATATTGGCTTGCTGTGAAAAGTTAAATGAGGTAATTTACATGAATGATTTATTATATTACCTAGCATGTAACCAGTATCAACTGCTGTTGAGTAGAGGCCAACTCACGGCAACCCCACAGAGTGGCCTTTAATAAATGTTGGTAAATATTACTGATACTTGCAGTTGCAGTGTCAAAAGCTCAACAACAGCAGCATAAATATTATTGTTATCTAATCTTTAAAGTTTTTCAACTGGTTTTAAAAAATATTATAAATATGACCTCTGTAGGGGAAGTAAAAAAATATGGAAATATACAAAATAAAGTCAATGTCTCATCCCTCTCTCCTTACCACTTCTACCTCTTCTCTAAGGATAGTCATGAAACAATTTGTTCTACTGCCTTTAAATAAACCCAAAATAGGGTGGCCCTCAAAGAATAACTTCCACTGAAATGCTACAAAAGATATCTACATCCTTTTTGGTTTGACCATCTTAAAATACCACATGATCAATATTAATGTTGATGATGGTCAGAATAAGGAAATAAGTTGAAGGCAGTGTGCTTTGAAGGAATGGTTTCTTTCATGTAGTCTAAAAATACCTTGGAATTTTTGGCAACTCCCAGTTAGGTGTGAACTCTTATATATTAGTAACTTCCGTCTCTGTTCATGTCTATACGACCCTCCAGTCCACTGTTAATCTCTAAGTATCACTGATAAGAGATTCATGGACACTACAATAGGATGCTTCCGAAGAACTGGAAGACTTAAGGATTATGGATGCTTTCTGAGCTGCAAACTGGTAATTCCATACCTAACAGATGTGATTAGCTATCTGGTGGAGTAACACCTGTCTACAAACATCCCTAATTTGGGGGTAGACTTAC